GCAAGTAAGGGATGCATTAACAGAAGTTGAACTACCAGTATCTACCTGTTAAAAATAAAAATAGGTAGTCGGACACCAATCTGGCAACTCCCAAACTCATTTGATTACCCCTTCAATCATTTAAGGACGATTGAGTTAATAGGATAGTAGGATTCCTTATTATATTTAGATTACTACTATTATTTTGAAAGTGTTACTCTCTAGTGTCGAGAGTTTCTAGGCCTACATCATTAATATCGTACACGTGTGACTTGTAAATTGCAATCAAATAAATTCTTTTACTATTGACAAAAGTGTACGCCAAATATTTACTTTTATATTACTTTAGTCTCAATATATAAAATCCTAATGAATGTTTAATACTTAACAATAAAATTAATTTGAAACGTAACGTAAAATGTAATATTAAATAATAATCTCATATTAAAAATTTATTTTGTAATTGGTTTCTTCTGACAGGGGGATTCGCTTACTAGATACGTCAGCAATTACATTTAATTGAATTCTCTTACATTCGCTTTCGTATGCCTAAGTATTTATAGAGCAAAATTATTAGGTTGTTGAAGTAATAGATATTTTTCTGTTATTTACATTGTTTTAGATAACCGTCATCAATAAATAGTAGTTACATTAATGTATATCTTAACAATCTATTAAATCCAAACTCAAATTTATTTAATGTCAAACAATAAGATCTATTTTATTAGTGCTAGACTAAAAATTAAAGTTCTACTTCTCGACACCGATTTCACATCTCAAGGAGAAAGTATACCCTATGTAATTAGTACAAAAGTCCATGGAATGCGTCTACAATTAGTTGCCACTTGCGATATCCTGGGGATAACAGAGATGCCTAACTGCATCACCATCTTTATTCAAATTGACTTTTTTACAAGCACTTTTAAATTATTTTTTTATAAATGTAGGGTTGGGAAAATTATTATCTACTAAGAAAAACCCGCAAGAAACTCAACAGTTACTCTTTTAAACTTCCGTTACCATTATGTGTTATTTAAATGTGCTGTCTAAAATTAAATGGTTATTTAAAAGCCTGTGCCTAATCGACTAATACTAAGTAACTCATCATTCAAGTAATATATGTCCTATTATTAGATATCCACAATCAATTAATTCGATCATAAAACATTACAATCTAATTAATTGGTTATTTAAATTTTTAGTAAATTCTATTGAAACGGACTATAGTATTTTTTTAATAATACTCCTCTCTTCACATATTTAATGGCATCAGTGCTTCTTTAGATATTTCACTTAAATATTCTATAGTGTGGACAAGACCTCTATCTACTAAGATTATATTACTAGGCAGTTACATAAGTGTAATATTGATATTAAATTTAATATATTAGGTAGATATATTCAACCGGAATAAATTTGCAATAAAATAAATCTATTGAACTTCAGAAGCTTAATGTTGAAGGTTCTTTCGTATTCTGGATGCCTATATTGCATAAAACATGTACTGTAATGGATAGAAAATATCTAGGGCAAACTATGGAGGATGAGTGGTTTTTCTAGTGGATAAAAATAGATAGTACCAACTGCAATATTTGTTTACGCTAGCGAAATACCAATGAGGGATGATAGGTGAAGATTAAATCAAATCAGTTGACTTACCGTGACGACTTCAGTAAAAATTAACCACAAAGGTATTCATGGCAGGGGGGGGGGGGGGCGTAGTAGCCCTAATAGATAATATTGCTATCAATGGGGCCCTAATCTCCAGTACTGGGGGGAAAGGGATTGTTAGTAATGGAGACTGAGAATCCCATTGCTAGCAATATACCCAACCAGATCGACCTCCTCGCGGTTCTCTCTGGAAACTATCATCGTTAATTATTAATGAATTCATCATGATAGGCTAACTGGCCTGTTTTCATTCTCATCTATCACCCTTCACTGGTGCTCCGCCAGCGTATCCCGTTAACGCAGGCGGGGTTACCATACCATTTTCACCCATCAAAAAAAAATCCCCAGTACTAATAATCCTGTTATCCCTGGAGAATTAATGAGCAATAGTCCTTCAGCTTTTAGTCATTGTATATTGTGTAAGTAACAAAATATTGATAGTTATATGCGTATAAGTGGTGACAGAATTGAATGGATGATCCAAAGTTAACAAAAATAATAAAATATTTCACAAAAGTCCGTCATCATCATATCAACTTTAAATTGTCCACTGCTGGACATAAGCCTCCCCCTATAGGCTACTAGTAGTTGTCACGCTTGGCAGGCAGATTGGCAATTGCAATTAGACTTTAGAGATGTTTTAAGAGGGACGCGGCTGCCCATCCCTCGCCGTCCCTTAGTCGGCTTTTACGACACCCACGGGAAAAGAAAAGGTAGTCTATTCTATGCCAGGACCACACGATCATTGATTTTATTAATTTAATTGATTAAATGCGTTTAATCCAGGAAGAACGCCGACCCTGGGGCGAGCAGTCAGCAATATACACCGGTATCTGGCGATTAATACCATGGATTCTGGATGTAGCTAGGGAACTTGACGATACTGACGTCTTCATGGGTGATATTTAAGTACATTGGAATAATAGATAAACAAACACAAGTAATTTTTTTAAATTAAATTCTTAAATAGTAGACTTAATTAACTGATACTATGAAATCGGTTGTTTAAAATACTATTTAGAAAATTGTAAATAGAGAAAATACGAATAGTCTGCTAATTTACAAAGTTTTATTATACATTACAGACGAAGTAAATTTTGCGAATTAGAAAACCTAAATATTACATAAATGGAGTCTAAATACTCTCGACTGATTTATAAATTATTGCGATTTTTATATATCACAATCCTAATTTTATTCTTGTAAAAAAATTAAAACAATATATTTTTTTTATAAATTATGAATGTATTGTTGTTTGTAGCGTTTGATTTTTATTTATTGTTTATTAATTTGCATTGTTGTATAGGGTTATTTTTGCCAATATTTTCTTTTTTTCTCTATAACATGCTATTTTTATAATAAAATAGTAACTTACATCGATTTTGTTATTATTATTTTTTGTAATTATATATTTTTATTTCATAATCATCATCATATCAACCAATAATTGTCCGCTGCTAAACATAGGCCTCCCCAAAAGAGGCGTTTTTCCAATAGTTGTCACGCTCGACAGGCGGGTTGCCAACCGCAGTTAAGTTTTGGTGATGTTTTAAGAGAAACTGTGCTGCCCATTCCTTGACAATTAAGATCCCTTTGTCGCCTCTTACAACACCCACGGGAACTGAAGGGGTGATCCAGTCTATGCTAGGAGCACACGACAAACATTTTTATTTACTTTATTATAATAGATTACCCTTAAGGGATAGGCAAACAGAACTGCGTGCCCAAGCCCAAGCTAAGAAGTTTGTTTGTGGATAGAGTTCATAAACAAACTTCTTACGCCATTCCGTCGCATAACTCTCGAGTTATGTTTTGAGCATGCATGTTTCGGAAACTTTTGACTTCCCCCTCAAACATCCCTCCCCTGGTCCCACACACCTGTTTGTTTACTTTTATTTTAGCTTTGTATCTTATATCAGTATTTGATGAATTTTATAAGTTTACTTTTAATCCAAAATGACTTTTATTATGAGGAAACCAATTATAAATGTATATGCATAAAATACATCAAATAATAAATTTAGAGACCTTTAAGTTTCAATAAGAAGTATTTAAACTTAATTACATTAATTAAGGATATATCTGGCAATCTGTTTCTACGTACCACACATTGAAAACTAATAAGTTAATAAATAGATTGGCACCTAATAATTATTTTTATTACATCTCATTATCAATAGATATTCCTAATCAAAACTAATCACGCACTTTTTATTCTACACTTCCGATTTTGCTGCTGTGTAACAATTATAATTTCATTTTACTGATTATCGAATTATTATGATAGATACTCCCAGCTTAGTTCTTTGAAACTGTAAAAGTTAAAACATCGATATTCCTTACTTACATTTATAAAGCAAAGTTTTAACATTAGGTTCTGACTGATTTATTCAAAGTGTCATTATCGCCCACACCAAATTGTTAAAGCAGCAGCTACTTGAATTTTAGGAGCAATGTTGATTATATATTGTAGCTATCGCATAAGAAAGGATCCTTTGAAGTTAATGCTTTAAAGGGTTTAAAATGGTTGAAAAAGTATGTGGTAGGCACGCAAAGGAGTGCTTAATTAAAATCTGAATTCCTATACGCTGCTTTTTTTTTATGAACAATGGATTTCATCAAAATAGAAAAAAATTATGCTTTAAATTAGTATATATACTACATTCACTATATAATAATATTTAATTGTATGAAACGACTTATTTTTACATACAATTATACTGCAATTTCATTATCAAAAAAGTTTCAAAAACTTCAGACTTTCAAAACATATCTAATACCCGTAGTACCTGCAACGTTTGCTTAGTTTGGAGCGCTATATAGCGCCGTAATACATACAAGGTTATTTACTGTTACCTACTAGTAATTCGCTTCTTCAAATATTTGCTACAGCGAATATACAGGAACTCGCCTGGTGATTATTAAAACCGCCATGAAAATAACTACACGTTATCCGGATGTCTACGCATCCCTATGGGTGTGATGAAAATATTATACTTTCAAAACATATTTGAAACGCTGTGTAATGAATAATATATGTATTATATATATTATTTATCTATATTCCCTTACTAATTATATAGTTAATCATTTATTATTTATTATATTATTTTGCACCATGTATACAAACCCTTTAGATACTTTCTCCTTTCGGGATCTCAAGGTTGACTGGAAAAAATCCCTTTAAGGAATAAGTCTGCCTGTATATATTATTGTTATAATTTAATATCTTTATTAAAAGTTAAAAGTACAAAAGCATATATAAAACTGAACATCGTATCAAATTGTAATCGTATATGGTACTAGATCTCTAATGAAAATAATAATAAAAAAAAATTAAAGTAGTCTTTATTTATAAAGTTCTCACTTTAAAAAAATTAAAAAATATACAGTAACAATTGTAATGACACATAGAAAATAATTCTAAATATATATTTATTACAATAAATTATTTAAATTATAAGTTATACAGACTTCATAAATATATCTTATAACTTCTGTTGGTACATTACATCATAATTTATATGTAGAGATATATTCTCAAATAAAACAAAACGAAAAAAATATCAAATGTCAAAATATTAGTTAAATTGTTGTTTGAGTTGTAAATGAGACGTTTTATTTTGAGCACAGTCATAGAAACCAGATAATGATTGTTGTTTTTCTCAGAGACAAAAAGTGAGAATTATTTGAAAAATAAAATAGCATATAACAATCTCAGATGAATTACTATACACATAGTGCTATGCAATATTTCTAGAAATAATGTTTTTAGTTATTTTTATCAAAGATTAAGAATAGTATCTTTCTATTTATTATGTCACAACACATATGACAGGTTTAAAAATCGGCCATAAAAATAGATTAAGTATGGTACCTGTCATTCTCTTTCTATGTTTTGGCTATAATGTTATTTATATGTATAATAAATCATTTCTTTTAATTTACAAGTACTATTCTATATTTATATCTATCAATAAAATAGGAAATCAATTTTATAAAAGACTTTTAGCATGAATATGAATTTCTAAACAAAAACAATGCAAACAGAAAATCCCCAAGGACAAGGACTCCAATATCTTTAGTAAATCCTTTGTAATTGGCATTTATTTTGGGATCTTTCACGTCTTTGCTTTGGCTAACATCTATTAAATTTTATTAATATTCCACCAAGTTTCATTCAAAATTGCAGTTGTTGATTTCAATTTAATATTGTTCTATAAACGAAATGAAACTGTATAAAAGGATGTGATACGTTCATTATAATTTATAAAATATTATATATTGTTTTTGTTGAAGTTTTAATACTAGCTGTTGACACTGAGGTTTTTTAGAACAGTGTATTTATTTTTATGTTTGTTCTGTATCGAATTTTATATAAAACGTGTCTTGTATTTTTTCACTAAACTTATTATTATTATTATATGTTTTATTAATGCATCCTGCTATTTACAACAGTTTTAGATTCACTTTTTTATAGTTATGAATGTATAAGTTTATTTTATGTAAAATATAAGATATCATTTAAGTTCAAAATAACTTTTACATGTAAAAATATATAATTAAATATAATAGGAATCTAGTGTAACACTTCTACATTAACTTTAAAATTACTTATAGCTGTTTATAGCTTAAATTACAAATACTAAAGCTGATATTTTAATTAAAAGCATTTCTTAATTACTGTCATGTAGGATTCTAAATTATTAACAATAACTTACTTCTCTCCGGTTAATGGGTATAATAAAACGTACTTGACTGGCACAAATTACTATCACAAAATACCTAAAAGTTAACACTCGATAAGGTAGTCTCAATTGAAATTAAGTCTATTCATGGCATTGTTCTAGAGCTATCTAGAACTAAGTAAAAAAAATATATGCATAGTCAATAAACAGATATAAATAATATTATTGTATTAAATTTTATATTTTATGTAAGCAATGTAATACCTGCCTTTATCCTTACAAATTTTTAAATGTATATATATATACATATATACACGTGTGCGTGTGCCTATGTGTGTGTGTGTGTGTGTGGAGAGAGAGAGAGAGAGAGAGAGAGAGAAAGTGAGTGTGTTTATATGTTTGTTGCCTCTTAGAGCAATCGTCATGACATTTGATGTACACGTACTATATGGGATGAAGGAGGACTATTATAGACTATTATTTATTACGGTTAATTAAGATACCCTGGAAACGGGAACGATGTTGTGGATAAAAGCTAATGTAATATAATTATTCTTTTTCAATCATCTCCATACATTCTATGATGGCAGTCTTTTTGTATTCACTCTTTCTCGATATAACGCTTTTTCCACCTTCTCTTCTTAAATTTTCCACTACATTACAACCATCTAAAATTAAAACATTTTATATATACATGTCATTATTCACTAAACATAATGAAACCGCGAAAAAAATACACAAAATTATCAAATATTTGTAATTGTATGAAGGGATGATATAACCCATCAACTAAGCTCTGGACATTCTTTATACTGAATTTCAGACATAGCATCGTATAAATCTTATAACAATATTGTATCTAATCGCACTTCTTAGCTATTGCTTTTCTTAATATAATGGTAATAACATAATAATAGGGTACTTTTAACTGATATATTTTTTATAATTAGATAAGTGCTTATCTTGTAATATATGTGATACTACCCTTTCTACCTACCCCTTCTTACTATGGGCATAAATTAATTATTTTATAGTGTGTTTATCAACTATTAAAAAAAAATTGTCATGATTGTATTTATGATTTGTATTGTCTATTTATTCCCGAACGTGTTTACAATTTGTACATTATGCTAAATTACTAGAAAACGCAATGATTGAATAAAGATTTTTCTAATAGTAGACTAGTAGATGTAATTTTTCATAACAAGAGAACTCGAAAATAAATATTTGTTTAACGAACCAAATATTCATTTGTCTAAATATTCATTTGAAAAGTATTTATACAGCGTAAACAACAAATACATATTAATAGCCCTGAAGGACTCTTTTGTAAGAATAAATACTAATATATTGCAATTATAACTTTATCTTTTATAGATATAAAAAAGATAATTACTGTATGGCAACAACAGTAAAAAGATATTCTAGATTGTCATGTCCAATCAATGATCTTATACATTACCTATTGTATTTGATTAAAAAGGAAACAACTGCAAAATCCTAATTTTACAAGAAAACCTTATTTATATTTTCTGGAAAGAAACCTATTTGACGATATTACTGCTTGTATGTTTAATACAAAATATTGTTCTAAAGCAATTAGTTAGAGCCTAAATTGATGTCAATATTGTCTATTTTATGGTTAACTTTGTTAAAATTTAATTTAAATTTATTAAGCTCTTTTTCCGTAAACGTTAGTGTATCATAATAGTATCTATGGCCTTTAGGACTTTATTTTTGTTTTTTTATTATTTTATGATATTATCTTATATCTAGTATATTATTTTAGAATTTACTTGAAACTGTAACGAGCCTTTGCACTTTACAACCATACTCAGTAAAAGACCTCGTCATTTAATTTTGAAGCACGGGTATTTAAACAATAACAAACTCTGGTACCCCGTGCCCACCGCAAATATTTGTATCTACTTAAAATATAAAGGGCGCCTTTACCTAAGTTCCATCCGCGTCTCATATCTGTGTTAACCTAAAGAAGAGCCACAATATCATTTGTAATTTCTTTCTGCGAAAGTATCACGACGAGAATCAAATGGTATTAGCTATTATTGAATAAAATATTGTATGCACGTGATATATAAATAATATGTATATAACAAAAACATAAGTATCCTTTTACATCAAATATGATAATATTAACAAGTTAATTTGTATCAGAATATGAAACAAACATAAATTTGAAATATAAACTTATTACACGCTTCCTTATTTATAAATAGAAATTTGTAAACAGAATTCTTTTCATAACTCTTAAGGGCGTCACATACTGTTAAGATGGTTTCTTTAATTTAAATATTATAGCACATTTAGGTATTATACACGGGTAAGTTAATATATAAAAGCTTTTCAGTATCTAAGTATCGTTACGATATATGTTACGATACACCTACCTTATAACTGAATATCTTAAGCTATTTTAAAATGAAAATATTCACATCAAGTTATATGGCGAACTACCTATATTTTATCTTAAAGTTAATTCATTATAGCATCTTCACCGTGTATGTATAACGCCCTTTAAAGTTGCGGTTAACAGCAACTGCGTCTCTAATGCGTATTCTTGTCATAGTGTAGTTCCATCAATCAAAATACTTGTTGTTTATAATATCTCGCATCCAAAGTACATAACCAGATGTACGAGTGTATATACCGTATTTGCCACGTTTCCCGCAACCATCGCCAAAACTCGTTATCCCCTGCGAAGGAAATTACGTTAGTAAATGATATTACTTTTATAATTATTTTGACTATTTCTTTAGATTACATCCAACTAAAGAGCAAAAGTAATTTGCAGTTACTTTTCTATTTTTCTTTATTTTTTTTATTTGTAATAATTTGTCAATACGTACATATTAATAGATATGTATGTCATCTAAACTGCTGAATAGAATCTAGTAAATTCGGTACTCCGAGTGATTTGAATATCAGGCAATAAGACTAATTAATTTTGGCCTTTTATTATTAATTTTAATCGATCGATCGATTTTTATTTTCCAGCCTGATCTTGATTAAATTATCTTACTTATATACTTACATCTCTATTATGCATTATTTTACACAATTTGTCTGTCTTTCGGGTCTTTCTTTCCCCTTGTGTTTATCCACATTCCACTCATCATTTGTTTAAGTGCCATGGTCCTCAATCTGTCATGTAATATCATCTATGCTCTACTTAGTTTGCCTCCCTTAGTTACTGACGCCACTTTCACGCCGCGTTTCTCCCCAACAAACAACAGACATGCACTGCTTTTATAATCTTTTATAAATATTCTAATACATCTCTAAAACATAATTCTTGTCTTATTTGTTATGAATTCGTTATTTTCTTCTATTGACATGAACTATCAATGATCAATCAAAAAAACTAATGAGCCTTATAATAAAATTAATTTAAAATATTTATGAAATATTATATTACCTGTAAATAATACCGCATATTTCGATCTCGACACAGTAAAGGCCCACCCGAATCGCCCGCACAAGAATCTCTGCGACCGCGTCCAGCACATACCATATTGTCTGTGATCGCATATTGCCAGTAAGAGCGGCGACATACTCCTTGCTGTATCGTGGAAACCTGTTGCAAATATATTATTGTATTACCCATAGTTGTTCAATACATTACCCAATCAATATTATACGGAGACATAACACCATAGTCCTCAGGTTTTGCAATGTACGTGGTATACCATGGATATCACAATGAATTCTGTGACGTCTACAAGCGACGATACATGTGACGATTACCGCTTACCATCAAATGAAACGTTAGCTTGTTTGCCATTCTAAGTATCATAAGAAAAATTATAAATATAGAAGCACTTAAATGTATTTCTAAAGATCGATATTCGTTATACGATCACAATCTAGAGGAACGACAAAATTACTACCAAGATAGACAATCTCGTAATTAACTTATTCTTAATCTCGTAATTAACTCGTATTTACTTTTATCTTAAATCACATGGACAAAGTGGTGAGTTATAGCTAGTAAATGGCATAGTCAAATCAGCAACTTCTTGTTGACTGTAGTCTTTGTTGCAAATTTAATTGTAAATGTATTGTGGTTAATTTCATTTTACTCTTAACATTGTGGTCGGCATGCTGCAAAGGGACGAACTCTGTTTACAGTATTAATTACGTTGATTGACGTTTTATTTATGATGTATCTATATTTTATATCGCCGCTTAGATACATGCACCATAGGTATTTACATTTATAAGTCAGAAGTAAATAAATTTAGTATATATATAAGTATATTTAAATAATATACACAGTATTACTACAGGAATAAGGAACATGAATATTTTGTTGATATAATAAAATATCTAATCTAATATAGAATGTTGTAGAACTTCTAATAATAATAATGGTGGTCAATCTTCGGTTGTTGGCAATTACACACATACTAATGGCAGAAAAATTAAACAAAATAATTATAACGATATAACAGTAAAGGAACATAAATATTCATATTTTTAGGTACACAGAATGTCTGTTTATACTGATATTCCATTCCCTTTAGATTACTTTTGAGGTTAATGAGGAAGAGAAAAGCCGTATAAAATACTAATAAATATAGAAGCGCATAAAGAGAAAAAAGTTCAAACAGTTGTAAGCTAATATTATATGACATTTTAATTATATTTTAATTTGCGACAGTACAACATTCTTGAGATAAGAGTATTAGGTACATACACTTGATTTATTTGTTAAATTAATATCCCGTCTTTAATTATTCCAATTAACTGAGGGAAGTTGCTTTTTTTATTTATTTAAATAACTTTATTGACTAAAAGAAAATAAAGTACAAACAATGGACTTAATGCTTACCTGTGCTTCATGTAGAACTCTGGTACCATGCAAATCTGTAGGCCGTTTCTTTCCCCAGCCCAATATGATACAGCTTGTGTGCGGGGGTAAATACTGTTGCGGATGAGGTAAACAGGCTACCCCGTGACCCAGATCCGGTCTCGCTGATGTTGGTAATCTGCATGATAACAATCTTTTAACAACACCTCACTGTTATGATTTGAAAATAAAATGTGCAATGTATAAAATATGAAGAACTTCGTAATAAAATTCGACTACTGTTTCCATGTAGATATAAATCTCTTTATCTGTATTTCATAGAATGTATTGGTATTTAAATTTGAATACATACCTACTCGTACTAGGTACTAATATTATAACATAAGTAATAACTTGTTAGCATTGCATTCTATAATATTATTATATATATAAGATAAAATAGGCTGTAGAATACAATTTAACCCCCTTATTTATAAAATCTTAAATATCTAATAAACCTGTTTTATTTATTGCAGTGTTGTCTTTTTCTTTTTTATATACAGGCTGAATACGAAATTGTAAGCGTCCTATGAAGAGAATATTCTACCGATGAAACTAAATATTCTCACCACAGAAATATGGGTTGGAAAACCACACTATCTATAACACAATTAGGGATGAATTTTAAGAAATACTGAAATTTTATTTCATTTTTTTATATACGTGATATATGATTAATTTCAAGTGAATCGCTTAAAAAATTTACTTTTTCGTACATACTTCCACTTCTATTTTTTAACCTTAGGGACAAATTTTTGAAAAATCCTTTCTTATTACATATGTAGATTTTAAAAGGAATGTTTATCTGAATTTGGTATTTCTAGCTTTTATAGTTTCGGCTATATATTGATGAGTCAATCAGGATCTTTCTCTTAATAGATAGTGTAGATAGGGTAAACCCCTTTTTTTAAAACATTTACCAATACCTATACTAATAAGTATAGGTAATAATATAGGTAGTAATTAAACTAAGAAGAGGAAATACATAAATTAGTATACCGAGAACATTTCAAATTCCGGCCCGGTGATTTAGTTATTCCAAACCTTCAATTTCTTCAATAGCATGGATTTGGTTGGAATTATTGGGATTTCTTTTGGCGTGATTTTTAGGCAGAAATATTTTGTATAGAAATATTCTATTTTTGGTATATTTCCATCGGTATATTTAAGGATCAAATATTCCAAGTGTTCAATAATGTAACTATCGTTGCTACATAGAAATATAATGTTCTTTTAACTAAACTATAACTATGTATTCCTTGTTTTTAAAGTTAAGATATTTATGCATTCATAATTATACAAAATCAACAGATATTTGATGTCTCCTAACTCTTTGTTCTCCAAAAATATAACATCTGGATATAGAGTTATTTTTGGTAACTATTTGATTCCACTTCCAAAATGTCTTGCAATAATTATGATGACTAATTTTATTTTAGTATTTGAAGCATTAATTTTACAATGTTTTTGTTTTTATTAATATATGAATCTATATATTTCTAACCGTAACATGGCCACGTCGTTGACTACAGTATCAGGGTCGTATAACGGATGTATAACAGCTTCGATAACCCTCATCTCCATTTCCCCACGGTTTTTCATCATGAGGTCGTATTCTCCCAGTCTTACATAAAGCCGTTTTCTTACGCAGTGTGCAGCTGTTACTACCCAGCGTAGTGATACTAATGTTCCGCCGCAGAATGCTTCCTGTTTAGTACAAAAGAATGTTTATTAGTTACATTATATTTACATATGAATACTAGAAGTATCTAAAATCATTTTCGGTAATATAATAATATTATTATTTTGTACAGTAAAATATATTTAAATTAAATTATTTATTGTGGTGTAGCCCTTTTAATATAATCAAGTATTCTAGCGTATTTACATTCTCGGAAAAACATCATTTCAATATTTCCTGTTTATTTTTCTTTTGTGTCTAACTTATTTTTTGTATATCATAATGTATTTATATTTTTTTAATAGTGTAAGGTACATTGAATAGTTGTTTATTTTACGCGTTATTACAGATCAATAAATCAATGACAAATTCCTCTAAAAATATTCTTAAAAAAAAAGTTAATTCATATAAAAAAAAATTAATTTTACTATATTTACAATAATATAACAACAAAAATTATGGCAAATATGACAAAAATAATTATAATAATAATTACAATCTTCGAGCTGTAAAATCTACCAATGGTATTTATTTATTATTACCTACCTGTAAATACAAAGTTCTTACTCTAATTTGTTAAAAAGTACGCAAACTTTAATGCATGAGAGGTACCGCGGGCGTCAGTGATTTACATGATATGTTAATGCTTGTAAGCAACGGTTACCACTTTCCATCAAGCGAGCCGTTAGTGTACGCCATTCCAAGCTATATAAAAAATAATAGGTTGTTTTCTTGTTTTCTTGTTCATAATCTCTAACTAATGTTATTTCGTTGGAAATTGTGGGAAATTACCTCTCACTTATGTTACTTATATGAAGAACTCTTATAAGAAATTTCAAATTTCTAGACTCAGTTGTGCATTAGTCAAACATTTTCCTTTTTATATACCAATAGATTAGTTGTTTTCTGCCATTTTCCGGCGTAGAAATAATTATAGAATAAGTCTTGTTTTTGCGTAATACCAATCATATTTTAATATATTTAAACTATACAGTTACGAGTGTGTGTTAGGTTTGCCACTTTCTTCTTTTAAATTGAATATTTATTTATTTAAATTGAATATTATTGATATTTTTTAAATATTCCGTTTCATTATTTCCTTTATAAGAATTTATTTTAATTATGCGCAAGGTTTTATTATTTTACAAGTATATTAACCGCAGAGAGTTCTTAATAAAGAAAGAAGACAAAAGTAATACTATGTCGTAACAAAATTAACCCATTCGATTTTTTATTGTATAATTAAAACGTACCTTATATCGATTAAGCACAGCAACTTGCCACGGCCATTTGCCAGGTGGAGCTGGCCTGCCGCCTATGATGCGCATCATGTCCTGCATGCGCGCACGCATCCGCGCAGTCGGTGAGCCGCGGTACCGGCCGAGGCGACCGCACCCGGGCATCGTCGTACGCGATACGCGTACATCTTCTGGGTGAATCGCCGGCACTGGCACAGACATTGTCTCCACTAATCTATATTCTGTAAATCAAGTAATATTTTCTTTTATAATACCAAACAAACAAGATAATAAGTTGAAAGGCCACTTGATGAAAATTTGTAACTGTCGCCTATAGACATGAACAGCACTTTGTACATCATCAAATACATTATGAAGCCCATGCGCCTCATACGCTGTTATACGAAGATTATACTATGGAGATTGAAATAAACACCTATTCTCATACAAGTTCGTTTTTACATAGATTGTCTTCTAGCGCAATCTCTTAACTATCCTTTCATTTTAGGTAAACTAACGCTTTTTCATTAAAGTATAATATTCAGGGCAAAATTACGATAATAAAGACAATAAATTGACTTTATAAGGTATATTAGCATGTTAGCTTCAAAAATAATATATTTACTGATCTAAAACTTTATAAAGATTTATCTAACGATTTCTAAATCTCAAAACCGAAAAAATGCCTATTTCTTTTATATATATATATACAGAGAAATATCTATCTTATGTGAAAGGACAATTCGATTTATTTTTTTAAAATATTATAACAACTATGAACAAATTTATATTTTAATACTATAGACAGATAAACATTACACAAATAGAGTTTAAAATACAAATGTAAAATCATAACATATCAGTAAAAAGGCAATATATTTAGTTACGTCTTTGTTCAAGATTACCATTGGAAAATTATCTATGTATTCAATACTTTACATTCTAAAAGCAAATTTCTTCAAAAGCATATTTTATATGTAAAACAAATCGAGGGAATTCTCTAAACAAAACTGGCTGTACAATGAATAGGCGTTCTTGGCGAATGTACATAAACCGAATTGGATAAAATATTCGTAACGACAAATTGTGTGTACCGTCTAAATTGATGAGTATGCATGAAAAGAAGATAAATTTAGGAAAGAACCACAATAGACTATGTACATACTTGGCTAGATATACAGATTTTTCATACAAAAAAAAAACACTTTTTATCAACATATTTCAAAGAGAATGATATCAATTCGACTGTATTATTTTGCTTATGACAGACACTCGATACGAGTATCTTTTTCAATTTTGAACCAAAAATGGAATCATATTTGAGTTAATTTTATATGTAAATGTATCATGTTGTTGATACTAACTGCGTCCGCGACATGATCAAAACATACTGATTGACCGTATAAAAATATCCATATATATATATATATATATATATATATATATATATATATATATATTAAATTTTGTGATAATTAATAAATCCTTCAAAATACCAAAAGATAACATACAAACAGATTCACTTTCGTATTAAACAATATTAGTAAGCTAGAGAACTATTTAATTTGTAATGTAGTAGTTGTTAGCTAAATACCTATGTGCAAGATCACCTGGGTCCTTTCGCCTCTGCATCCTACCACGAATCCAATGTTGACAATAGCTGCCTTCCAAGTAGCAATAAGCGGATTGCCTTATTACTTTTTGACCACAAAACATCCGTCTTTGGCAAATTCTGTGAATATAAAAAGTAATAAAGGCGTAAGAAGAAGTAATCTACATGAACGAAGATCACACACACACTCAAATATTAATATTGATGATCTATAGACACATGTGTTAAATTTCATTGAAATCTATTTAATAGTTTAATAAAGATATAGTAAACGTCCAAATATGAAGATATTTTTATATTACCACTGAGGTAGCAAACAAACATACAAGCATACGGCCCACCTGATAGTTAGCGACTACAATAACTTATATACACCTTAAAGAAACTTATTTATTCAAATTTAGATAATTCAATTTTAATGAAGTGAATATAAAAGATTTTACGTTTATAATACCTAGTATAAATGAATACCTTCGTCTAACTGTAGTACATTTTCTAGAACACACACTCCAAGGGCTCCACGGTGAATACCCCCGAAATCTCTTCTGAATTTCATCCACATTCAACTGGCGTGGATGCTAGTAAAATGTTAAACATTTAATTTACCTTATAAAGTAAACGACCGACACAAGCTCAGCGAATTCTCTAAAACATACTTTCTTCCATTTAACCACAAATTTACTATAAAGGTCGGTGCAGATGATGGGCATTTTGTCCGTAAATAACATTTTCCTTTGTCTAAAACGTATATTTGCCCAGCATATATATTATATCCTATATTATATGCAATAATAGGATTTTTTTCATGGATGGACTTAAGTTTACATCGAGATTTGTCTCTTGTCGGATTTAAAAATTTTGTATAATGAAGTAAACATTTTGTCAGGATAAAAAATGTCCCTCGTCTGCACAAGCCATAATAAAATATCTAAATATATAGTATTCTGTTATTTCATATACAGAGATGATGGGTACTTTTGTAAGACATAAATGGATATTAATAACCGTAAATCGAATACATGACGTTTGCATATTTCAACACATATATCACGACCCTGTACATGACTCTTCTGTTCTTCCTTTTTATAACAGAAAATAAATATTATATGAATAATTTCTTGTAATGTCAATACTGAAAAAACTTTTGACATAACAAGTTGGCGTTAAGAATTGACATTGATATAAGTGAATAAAGTACAACTTAACAAAAACTAATCTGAGATTGATATTTTGACTTGTCACGTGAGTCTTTTAAGGAGTAGACAGACAAAGAAGGTAAAACGGAAATTTCCATGCAACTTGTCATTCGAAATTTAATTTCGAATGAGAAAAATAGGTAGGTAACTTATTTATTCCTTTCTCAAACAAACAAATGAATGTCAGTTCAATGAATGTTAATGACTTGTAATTTCTTAAATGACATTTTTTTAAATAACTAAAAATGAACATAAGCTAATATTATATATAGATGTAAGTTTTTTTTTTCTCTATTTACAAAGTACCAAACAATAAAATTGCTATGATAATTATGACGTTCATTGTACTTACGAGATTGAATATATAAGTAACAATAGTACTTATTCAATACTAATCGCAACTATTATACGAGTTCTCAAAGAACAGCAGCTGTTCGTTATAAATTCAATTAAAATAAAAAATAAAATTAATAAAATTAAATATGTTATTCTTCTACATATCATTAAATTACCAGTCATTAATTATATAATCGGTATTGTTTTCCAGAAAAAGTTTGAATTACTGTTAATTCACTTGTATTTCTTAATATCTGTTCTTGAAAGTCGTGCACGCTTGTAACTACGGTTAATAAGTAGGTACAGTTCTTGATTAACAATCCCTCATTTAGAAAAATCTGTATATATTTTACGTAGTATTTTTAATTAAAGAGAAATACAACAAATGCTTATTTTGTATTCATGGCATTAATTGAAGTGGCTTTTAAAATATTTCGTAGAATTTGGTACTTTCACTTTATAACGACTAAAAGAAAATTGGATTGTATAAAGTAAAATCATAAGAAAAGTAAAAGCAAAAAGTAACAATGATACTTAATAAAAATATATGTTTTATATTATACGTATAATAACAAAGCTGATTATTGTGCTATCGATGTACAGAAAACATTTTATTATAATATACAATATTATAATAAAAATTAATAAGACTGTTTATATAATTTAATTAAACTCTGTATTCAGATAATTATTGTAGAGCTTGCTCTATTGGTTTTAACACAGGTATTTATTGTATTGTAAGTAGAAGTAGGTATCATTTGTGTTCTAAACTATACTAATATAACAAAATTGTAACTAGACAATGTTAATACATCACATATTTAAAAAAAAACATACGAGGGGTCTTTACAAATCTAATAGAAGCCAAAACAATATTTTTAGAAATTTTGTATGTCTATCTACATGTTTGTGTGCATATTTATTTATGTATCATGCAAAAACTACTGCACCAAATTGTATGCGATTCTCACAGTTATGTTCTTGAAGGTCTAACTTAAAATTTAATGTACGTTTTAGTTTGACACACTATCTACTTTTAAATAATATTTTAGAGTGAGTCTACCGCTGTCACTTGGAAAATCCCATTTATTTCTTCTTTAAGAACTTAAAATGAAAATGTATACCTTAATACTATTAAACTTTACTAAAATTTAATAATTACCACTTGTATTTGTACGGATTTTCTTTTGACTTTGTCTCGTACTGTCGCATGACGCATGTCGTTTGTTCTCTTGCAACTGTAAACAAATTTTCTGTTTGCAAATATCTATCAATTCCGCATTATAAACATATTATTAGCAAAACAATTAGGTATAGGCAATATATTACAGTTTTGTTATAATATTGGTTATATGTAATCAATTTTGCAATAAATTTACAAAATATGAAATGTAGGCAAGTGTAATATGAATACGAAATAAATATGTGTCTATAACACTGATTGTAATAGTTATATATTCTTTTATAAATATTTTAAAATACCGAAGCAATTTTGCTTTTAGCATAACTACACAAAACGCTTTCAGAGTCGATATAGAGATATATAAACAAACAAAGTTATTATATCAAGTCGATTTTCCTTTTGAATGAAATTCTCAGTGAAAGTTTAAATGGAAATATATTGTACAGATCCCATAAATTTCAACGAGCTGAGAGTTTGATAATAAATCATAAAAGCTCAACATTGTTACATTGGTACCATCGTTGTAAACCATGACAGACACTCATGCTTATGACATTTATCTCTCTTTTATTTATACTAGCTATGCCTGTGACTTCTATCGCGAAAAAATTAAATTAAATCCTATAAAAATACTTTGGAAACTTTTGTCTTTATCATCCGCTACATAAAGTTCTATGTAGAGGACATTATTCTTAACTTTTTATTTAAGAAAATCATTACGTTTTACGTGAGTTCGTACAATGGAAAGTTCAAGCTATGAATCAGAACTAATGGCTATACCTCATGATTCGCTTGACCGATTCTGAAAAAAAAATATGTATATTTTTTATATATCCTTTATAGTAAAATATTTAAGATTTACATTTAAAAAAAAATTACATTGTAAAAAAAATATATTACCAATCAGCGCGAGAGTAAACTCAACCAATTGCAAACAGAGTTATAAAAATCGATTCAAAATGTGCCAAAATTTTGTTTACACTAAAAAATAGTGTATTCAGAACCTTCTTCTTTTGAAAATCATAAAGCTAAGCACGTTTGCGGTATAAAATACGAGTCATCAGATTTTTTCAACTCACCTTGCAATTTCTAAACGTAGTGCACTTCCACATACTTCTCGGTGCAGGCAATGTCGCCGCCTGGTCTTCTTCCCACCATGACAATAACTCCATCGACTCCATTTGGAATACAAGGGTTTTGTATTTTTGTCTATAAAATTAAAAAGTCTTATATAATTCCATAATTAATTCATAACTAGTACTTGTACTGGGACTACTATATATTTATCTGTGTTAATGCAATTATACACACAGCAACGTCATCAATACTCAATATGGCATTATACTAAAACAAGTCTATAAGCTTATTTTAGGTGTACGTATTAAAAATTTATTTCAAACATAAAGAATTGCAGTGAAATTACAGAGTTCAAAGACTTATATGTTAACCTTATCTTATCATAATACCTAATTTATGCAAGTTTTTACACTTTTGTCTATAATATTTTAGTATGCTGTCATTATCAACTTTAATTTAAAAAATACAATTTTTTCCAGATAACTACATTGATTGTGTTCAATATTTATGACCATATTACTAGAACGAAGAGTACTTCTTTATAACAGAATACAAATTACGATTTATTAATTTAATATGCTTATACATTTAAATACAATTTAGGTTCATAGCAATCTAAACCTTTTCAAATAATTATAAAAGAAGTTGGCAAAGTTGTTAGATTTAATTATCAATTAACAATCACAAGTTTCAAACGTAATAGGCAAATACCAGTCAGAAGAATTAGAAATACTTGTAATTATAATAAAGTAGTAGTACGTTCCTTTTAATTACGAATCGTTGATTTATTTAAATAGAAATATAAACTCGTACCTTCCTAAATGAAACAAGACACAAATATTTCATTTTACAAGGTATTTTGAAATAATTAATGAAGGAATAATAGATATTACTGTACCATTGGTAAATGTAGTCACTACTTTATTTTGATAATAATAAATGTGAGTTATAAACTGAATATTACAGTCTCTGAATAACGTGCCTGACTCTTAACATCTATTACGTAAAATATACCTTCATATTTCACAAATTAATTTTCACCTTTCTTTTTACTAACTTCTAATATTGTCATTCGGGCGAAAAGAGGTTCTTAGTAATGAGGTCTAAGAGCCTCATTGCTAACAACATTGCAACCTTATTAGGTTAATCTCCACGGTTGCATTCCACCTGGAAACCATCGTGGTTAATTCTTGTGAAATCCGTCACGATGAGCTAACTAATCCGTTTTCATCGTCACTTATCATCACTCACTGTTGCCTCGCCAGTATATACTGATAGAGTTACTATTCTATTTTCATCCATTAAAAAGATATACCGTCACCTATAACTAACGATTCATTGGTAGTAAAAAATAGTGACTAGTAAGCCACACAACAGATATACAAATTTATCTAAATCTAGGTAATTGAATACTTCTATATATTTAAGTGAAAATTATATCATTTAATTAGCTTGAATAGATGGTAAAAATTAGTAGATATTGGTAAACTATTGTCGTAAAAGACGCCAAAACTCATGACCTTGTCACCTTCGAGATGATTAGACCATGACCATTCTGAGCAAGACCTATTTCTAGCATTCACAACATAGGATTCGGTTGTTCTAGCCTTCAAAACTAGTTTCGTCATATAGGTAATTTAGACTATGTAGTGTACATATAAATAAAGAAAAGGATTTAGCTGTTATATTTTTTGTGGTGAGAGTTATTCTGTATGATGACCGACTGATACAGCGATTTAACACACCGCCTTATCTTCCAATGGTCGCAATTTCGATCCCCACACAATACAATCATTTATATTCGTGAGCATGACTGTTTGTATTGGTCTGGGTATTTTTTATATATAATATGTAGGTTTTTATCAAAAAAAGTATGTAAGTATTTTAATGAGTTGTCTAGTACTCATAGTACATGCTTGCTTAGTTTGAGAGTAGAGAGCGTTTTGTAATATAACCAGTAGTATTAATTATTATTTATTATATACTTAAATATATATATAATAAGTCAATTTTATATATAAAATAGTACTACTATTTATATAAAAGTCTAATTAACCTGCTGGATAACCTTCTCATAAAATTTATTTGCAACCAGTACATTCATTTATGAAACAAAGTTACACGTACTTCTCAAAGTACATACTTTACACGTTAATCGGTTGACTAATTTCACCTCGCCGAGACGAAGTCGCTTAAACTTGCCCGTTTAAATCCTAATTAGTATCTATTATAAATTCGAATGTGTATGTCAGTTTATTACATTTACACAGAACTGATTTTTATTGCAACCTATAATAAAGATAACATTACAAAATCGTGCAATATATTTTACCATTAAAAATTAAATTAAATTAACAATTTTTAATACTTCCCGCTTTATATACCCACTTGTTTGTACGCGTGTATTTTAGAGTAAAAAAATCAATGAAATAGACTATTTTTATATCGCATATCAATATAAAATATAAACTAGATTTTAAATTATACTTTCAAAAACATAACAGTGAAAACTGCATCCAAATTCATGCAGTAGTTTTTATATGATACCAGAACAAACATATGAGTAAAATGTCTAAAAATTATTGTTTGACACTTATATGATCTATTAAGATCATATTTCACATTTTTTTTCATTTCAATATCTTCCATGTACAGATATCGTCTAGTTACCATACAAACTTTCATCTCCTATTTTACTCTTTTATTAGTAAATTGTTTATATCATTAACATTTTCAATACCTATTTTATCCTTTGAGGTTGAATTTTCACAATCCCTAATCCGCTATATAAAAAATCTAACTGCAAAATTTCAAAAGTCTAGCTTAAGCGATTTAGGCTCCGCGTTCATAATATGGGTCAGTCAGTCAATTAGGATCTTTTTTTATATACTCGTATATAGATATATGTATAAGCTTCTGAAAGCGGATGAAAAACCGGCACTTATAGTCCTTAAGAGGCTATTTATTTTTATCATCCATAGCGGTGTTACGTCCGAGGCGTAGAATAGAAGTGCGGTAGCCCTGTTCTTTAAGAACTATACTTGAATAACTATAGAACAATATCTCTTCTAAATCACGTCTATTTACTGTTTTCGAGAAACCTGACCAATCGTCTTAAGCGCAAACTTGACGATTTACAGCTACCCGTACAAGCTGGCTTCTGAAAGGGCTTTAGAACGATAGACCGCATGCATACGCTAATCATCCTTTTTTTTTAATAGATAATGGTAACCCGCGCTATCGGTATATTCTGGCATGGAATCAGTGAGGAATGATTGATCAAGATGAAAAGGCAGGTTAGACCATCGTGACGAATTCAATAATATATTAGTCACGATAGTTTCCAGGGGGAACCACGTGGAGATCAACCTGATAAGGTATATTGATAGCAATGAGGACTAACCTTCCCTTTACTAACAATCCCTTCTTCCACTCATCCTTGATTTCCTCTCTAGCAATAAAAAAAATATAGATATAGACTATTTAAAGCTATTGATATATCTTTGAAACTTGATATGACACAGGGTTAATATAAATTCGGTATACTGCAGCATCTAGCAAATTACCTTTTATTGGACACAAAATTTCACGTATTTTATAAAATGAAAAGGCTTTTATAATTTACTTCAGTATTTTACATAACAATGGCTGATTGTATGCTGATGATGCCATGGCCCTTAATCCATCATGCGTGCTCTGTATATTTATACTTTAACAGACAAAGGTTTATATGAGCTCAAAATCCTGACTTAAGTTGACGACTATTTATCATATGATATCAAACCAACGAGACTAAAACAAACACTTTACTCGATAACAGTATTCATATTTACTAGTCAGTTATTAATAAGCCCTTAGTTCGAAATATATATGAAATATTGTCAGTTTACATTGCAACTAATAATAATATATTTAGTACATTATAATATTTTATTATAGCACGTCGGTCTTATTTGGCTGGGTGTAAAATACGGAAAAATCTCTATCTCCAAGCCCCAGGTTATCTATGGCTGCGGCAAATGTAATAGCTATAGTACCGAAAAAAATTATGATAGAGCATCTTCGGAATCCCATTCTTTTTCAAGCGTAAGGGCAACGTCAACATATTTCGAATTATTTCGCTTGACGTTGGTCTAGACTGGCCCAAAAATCTACCTACGCTATCGCTGAAACGTACACGAATAAAATAAATCAAAATAGAGTACAAAAGCAACAGCATCCAGCATGTCGTTTGTTTCCATGCGCACAAAAAAAGACATTTACCATAGATTCATTTGCCATTTTATCTAAGGAGATAGGACAGTTGATATGACATTAACGTTAGATGATGTATTTCTCCGAAACACTCAAAGTAACTAAGTTATTATTGATATCAATATACGATCGCTTATTATAAATAAGTTACATTGATCGACTCCGAATAACTGTACTTGTAATAGAGTGGTTAACGCGTTATATCTTTACGTTTATACCTATTTATCATTATCGTTTCAGTCGTTCATTATCCAATTCTGAATACAGGGCTGGGAGATTAAAAACTCTCTTGTACACGAATTATAATAGAGTTATATATGTAACTGGCGAACATAGTGTGAAGAATGTTAATTGTACGCCCTCAACTTGAGAGACTTATAAACTCGGCAAAATATGCAGAGCAAATCTTATTATGATTAATGTAACTTGCCTTTTAACTCCCCTTTATTTTATATTAATGTTGTAAATTCTAATTAAACAATGTCTAATGACGGGGTCTTAATAAACCAAAAGAACAATTTTGAGAAATTCAAATCAACTTTATGTAAATAAACTTGTTTACAAGCACTTTTAAATCGTAATTTTTTAAATCTACTACAGGGTTCAGATTAATGTTATCAGTTGAGAAGCGCCTGCTATTGCAGTTAACTTAATAGTTACTCTTTTAAATCTCTGTTAATATATGTATAAACTATTATAAGTACACTTATATTTATTTAAGTGAGTTGAGTGATGTCTAAAAATATATGGTCATTAAAAAGCCTATGCATGTTCGACTAACACTACGCACGCTTGTCATTAATAAATTTAATATTAAATTTGTATGTCTGTATGTAGTTTTGATCAGACATCACGTAAAAACTACTGCATCAAATTAGATGCGGTTTTATGCGGCCAGAGCTATATTCCTAAATATCTAATTTAAAAACTGGTGTATATTTTATCGTGATACGCCATCTAGGTTTATATCATTAGTTTTTTTACTTGTAAAATTCACGCGTAAGAAGTGACGGGCAAAAAGCTAGTTTATATATATACTTACATTAAAATTTCAATTATATTAATCATACCTTTTTTCACAACTATTAATTTCCGCGTATGTTCATATAGATTGTCACTCGTGTCCACCACTCTCGCATCTCTTCTCGCGTCCTCAGTATCAATCTGAAAGAGTATGTAAATGTCATACTTATTTCTCATATGGACTATTTAAGCGAGGACTATATTAATTTAAAGAAACGAAAAAATCTCTTAAAAGCGTAATAAATATTTTACTAATACTGAAACGAATTATTTTCGATATAATAAATAATAAATTACAAGTACCATAATTGGTTCTATATAGTTTCCAAGGAAAGTAATTGGAAAAGTTTGTAATAGTTTCATAAACTTATAAAATATAGGTAAAAAATTATTTTAAATTAGGAAAATTTATTTTTCTAAACTAGACAGACCAAAAATAATACTCGGGAAATTATTCCCCATAATTTCTCTGGTAGCTTTACATATGTAAATGGTGACTACTGAAATAAAAATGTCTTCCACTTTCCCTATAATTAATATAGTGAAATTGTATCTGTCCCGAAAACAATATCTAATGTTTCATTAATTTCAAAACATAAAATATGTCAAATATATTTATAGTTTTTACACAAAAAAATGTTGATGTATTTGTATTATACATAAATCTGCCATTCTATTTTGTTTTATCCTCAAAAACAATATGTAAATGAAATGTAATGCAAAATAACAAAGATGACCCTTTTGTTCACAACATCAAACGCATAAGTACCTGAATACACATGGAACTAGATTAAATCCTATTGAATATTTATTATTATTTTTTTCAATGTTTCCTTAAACTTATACTATTTGTACATATGTACTAACAAATATTCTTTTCATTTTTTTACTTTTCCTACAATAATATATATACAATAATATATATATATATACTTAACAAGAGAAGAATTACATTTTCCCTTAGAATACACAGTTTTTATAAACTTCCTCTTAATTTGAGTATATAATAATATATCTGAACTTGATCTTAATATATTACTGAATGGTTAAACGAAATTAATGAATAGGTATAGTAACCTTGATTTTGATGAATCAAATGCTGCACTATTATCAATATTGAAACGGTATATAATAGCATCAATATACCACTGTTATTCAATAATGTAGGTCAATCCTTTTAAAAACCCATAGTTTCCACACAATAGTTGCAGCCAATTGATAAAAAAAGATGTAGCTATTTTAATTTGGCTGAAAGCCAAGTATTCTTTATAGTTGCAATTTTGGCATCAGTGCATCTCAATAGTGATCCGTTGCATTACTTTAATTGTTACAATGAGCCTTATATGTACCGTGTACATTTCCTGTTGGTCTATATATGTAATAAGAATAATTTGATGACTTTGGTGGTATTCGGCGGTTTAATTAACTGCGATATCTACCGATGACTATGGGTTTGATCACCGTACAATAAAACATTTGGATTCATGAATATGTTTGTTTTATTGTAAATACTGTTAGCAGATTATAAACAAAACTTAAGAAGTGGAAGTTCCACTTTAACGATTATTAAATAAGTGAAGATTTTGGGGGAAAACACTACAATGTTTATGAAATCACAAATATTTTTTTATTAATTGCAAAAAACATTGATAATTTTGTAAAATCTAATTTAATTTTTATGACTAATGATCGAATAAAATAAAAAAGCGTTTTTAACATAAAAGATTATACACATCTCTTTATTGCCTTCCATTCTGCTATTAAATTGATATATTCTTCCCACTTGTAACAGAACAAACATTCATAATATCTTTCTCTTTACAAAGTATAACCATGCTTTGCGTTTTACCTCATTACATATCCCATCTAGGGGAAGCCAGATAAACAAAATTCCACAGAGGCAAAACTTCTCCACTGCAACTTAACGTGATCAAAAGAAATATTAATTATTGTCGAGCGGCAAAATAGATCGGCTTTCAAACTTAACATTGTTGTCTACTTTTAGTAACACAATCCTTATTTATTCTCATAAATCAATATAAGACAGTCTCAGTTACTGATACTACATTCAGGCTTTTTTGTATTTACTCATTTAGTATTTTTATAATATACTCACGTGTTCGGCGAAAACTTTTATTACAATAAATATATTAACAACAATAAGAGAGCACAACGCCTTCATATTCTTTGCACCTGGCCACTAGAACTTCACGAGTATTCGGCATCTAGAAGCAAACATAAGTTTATATTAATAAGTACAGTATGAAGATATCAGTATACCTATATACAAAATATAGAAAATGCTCTACCAGTGAAATTGAACATCCTTCCCAAAGAAATATACGTCGAAAGAAAGTTAAAAAAAATTGTGCTTCCTATACTAATATTACAGTTAATGATATGAGCACTATTTATATAGGAGATTTAAGTTTTTCGTTGTGGATCGCCCTATGATCATTTGGGGGAAATTTATCAGTAGAATAAAGCCTTAAAAGGATGCTAATGAATTCTATTGAACACTGTACGATACATCAATTAGATAGGTTACAAAACAATACATTAAATATTAATATTAAAAAAAGAGCTTGTGGCTTTATAATTTTCCCTACCATGCAATACTACAGAGCTTATTAAATTGCCATAACGTATGTACTCGTATATCAACCAGTAATTTCAGTATCGTTTCTATCTTAGAGCACATTTTAAGTCTTGTTACTTGTATAGATCCTGCAGTTTCAATTGTGCTTATACAGCAATTTCTATTTGCAAATTAGACTAATCTTTTTCAACCGAGCTCAAAAAAAAAAGAAGATTCAATTATATTTTTTTATGTTCGTTATAATATAAATCTGTCAGTTATAAATTGATTTGAAAAAAAATTTTTTAACTATTTTTATATGTATATTTTTATATACTTTCCCATAGAAATTTTATCAAATCGTTTCTAGATAAATCATAAAATGTTATTTTATGAGTTTATTATAAATTTTAATACACATAAAACTTTTTGTATATCAGTCAAATTCGAACTTATGACGTTGACTTTTTATAAGTCGGGATAGTGCGCCAATAGGATACAACCTCTCTAATTTAATAATATAAATAATGGCAAATACACACGTGTCTATATTTTATAATGTGCGAAGGGCATCCACCTTCATTAACAAAGAATAGAAAATTCATGACCCATGAGTCCTCTGGGACACCAGTGATTTACAAAGGGCAAGGCGCTAGAATAATAAACTTAGTACATACAATATAATAATATTACAGGTGTATATACTAGATATACGTATATAGATATAGATTAAAGAGTAAATTATAAATATTTAAAATATTCGATCGAAAATGAAAGAGACAGAATATGCCTTATTTACACTACACATATTATATTTGGAGAAAAATAAGAGTATTACATAAACCGATAATCATTATGAGATTGGATTGCTGAAAGCTATCTTTTCAAGGCAAGCAAAAATATCCTTTTTAAAGTTATGAGTTCCACCCTTACACGGATGATAGTGGTAGTAAACAAATTTACCATACAAGCACTTATTCATAGCTCAGAACGTGTGAAACTAGAGTCTAGATTTGATTTGCTGTTAGCTAATTAACATGTCTACTCACCACGCAGACACAACAATATAACAGTAATTTCACATCACGTTTTGATATTAAATCAATTACACGACATTAGCTTTAATAAAATACTACATAAAATACATAAAGACTATTTCAGTTTCATAAAAATAATTCATATATTACGATACTAGAGATTAAATGTCAATTAAATCACGAAATTATATCCTGAAATTAGTGTCTCGCTACTAGATATTTAATGTAAATTAGGTTTTAAATAACGATACTGAGGTGGTACTGGCATAAACTTTATGATATTACATTTGGAACAGACATGATTAGATTTGACTGAACTTAGTACAATTTATGGTATTAAATTTTTTTATATTGAAAAAATTTTTAATAGTCTTTTGTGTTTTGTTTTCTAAATCAAATCAAAATTAATAATTAAAGTCCTCTACGCTTGAGTTCACAACAAAAGTCTCTAAAAAATTAATCCATATTTTTTGAGTACTTGCGTAATACTCGTAATTGCTTTGTGAATGTTGATTAAATTATGTCTCTACATGATTTTTAGCTTTTAAGTTAGATGTAGGTGGACGAGCGCGTTTTAAAATTTTAATAATTAACTAAGTGACATTAGTTCAGCTAATTTATATCTTTTTTACTATTAATGGATTATAAAATAACAGGGTTAATTATTATACAGTTATATATATATATATATATATATATATATATATATATATATATATATATATATATATATATATATATATATAAAGATTACATCAAGTAATCATCCCTTGTCATAAGGGAATTAATTAAATTTACCGCTGTCGGATAACTTGTATAGAGCTACTTAAAGTTTGTAAATGTATACTGTCACGAAAACTCATGTTCCAGATTTCTGTTTTGTATTATTATGCAAATTAAGCAATACCTAGCTATCTCTTGGTACCTATGTAGAATAATAAAGTTTAAAAATTAAAATGAAATTAAAAAATATCTCAATCCTGACAATAGGACCAATAAGGGAGTAAACCCACACTCTTTGCTATAAAAAGAATAAATAAAATCAATACATAGTGAAGATATCATAACTCCACACATATAGACAGAAAATACAGTTGAGTTGATAACCATATTGTCAAAAAAAATTTTTTTAGATAGGTAATGGTGGCAAAATAAAAGCATACCCATATTCAGAATAAGTACACGCCGAACACAATGGCTCAAGAACAATGCAATTAGTGCATGTAGCAACACAATTCTAACACCTTCAATCTTCGCTAGACGTATATAGAAAGGTCACACAGATATGACGCTTGGTATTGTTTCGAGAAAGAAAATGGACAAATTGCCCTCCCGTATATGGTATTGACAAAGAGGTCAAGAATATCTTTGGTCATATCTAAAAAAATCATTTTTAATTTTAAATATTTATACTCATTAAATTTTCAGCGCTTGATTGTCCATTTCTGTAAGTACATAACCATTTATAAAAGTTTAGATGAAATTTTTGGCAAGTATTAGTTCTAGAAATGTTAGTTAAGTCTTGTTTTTTTTCTCCTATAGAGAATAATAAACTGGCAAATGAGAAACAAGTTTTAAGTTTTATATTTTTGTATTGAGTTGATAAAATATCGCATTGCGAGATTTCTTGTACGAAAAATAAAGCTAGCTACCAACAATTTAAGTATTTCACCTCATAGATATAGCAGCTAAGTAATCCTAATTAATAGAGTCGTTTCCACAGTAAGTAACATCATTACTTATAGATTTTCAGAGCTTCTAGGGGAAAAACGTACAGGCTACGATAACAGCTTACTATCAAGCGAAATGTATTTATCTGGTATATAAAAGAAGACAATAAGCTATGTTAAATACTTTTTTTAATTTATAATATTTAATTTACTATTTGTATTGTTACTTCTTAATGAAGTAACAATATTTTTAATATTATCATATCAACCAGATATGATATTATTCAAAATAGGTACATATGTAAATAAATAAAAATATTTTGTTATTAAACCGAAAGATTTAAGTACAATACAATACAAATGACCGCCGTGTGGTCCCAGTGAAGAATAGGCCACTCCTTCCTTTCCCGTAGGTGTCGTAAGAGGCGACAAAGGGAGGACGAGGGATGGGCAGCAGCGTTCCTCTTAAAATATCTCCAAAACCTAACTGCGGTTACCAATCTGCTTGCCAAGCGTGGCTACTATTGCCAAAACTCCTCAAGAGAGAAGGCAGATGTTCAGCAGTGGACAGTTAAAGGCTAATATGATGATGATGGTAATAAAAATGAACAAAAAAAGAATGGTCACTGCTTTAATATGGTAGTAACAAGGACTTCGTTAAATATGTGTATGTATATAAACATTCTTAATAAAAACAATAGAAACCAATATATATATATATATATATATATATATATATTGTCTTTCTGTCTGTACGTTTGTTTCAGCATCATGCAGAAACTTCTATACGAAATTAGATGCGGTTTTTACAATGGTATTCCTGAAAGTTTAATTTATAAAATGGTTATCGTTTTATCTTTATATACTGTCTAGAAGCGATCTATTATTAGGTTTTTACATCTGAAATCCACGTGTACAAATTCGGTAAAAACTAGTTGCATAAATTGCAATTCATATTACTTTTCTTGTAATATGAGAAACATATACCTAATAATAATCTAACATAGAGCATTATTATTAAATATAATTCCGTGTTGCGTGGAATTACAATTATCCGAAGAATTAATGTTCCATTAGCACAGATCATTGTACTATAAACATTCATTATTATGAGCTCTTCTTTTTCATAGTTTTACTACTCAATACTCATGTATAACGAAAAATACCTATTGAGTAAAAATGCCATTTTTCTGTTTTTTTTTTTATGCAACTTATAATGGCAAAGAAGTTGATGGCCTACCTGATGGACCGTCGCCTATAGACGTGAATAGTATCATGGACATAACAGAGTATACAGTTTCGCTCATGATACCCCCATACGTTGCTATTCCTGAGGACTAAGGTCTTATGCCTAAGGTCTTATGCCTAAGGTATTACCCTATAAATTCATTGCTATATCCTACCCTTCAAACCGAAACACAACTGTTTTACGGTTAAAATACGAATGGGACAGCCCAGACCCAAACACTTTTGTGCAGTCTACCTCTGGTAATGAATAAATTGGTTATTATAAATTTAACATATAGTTGGTCCTATCTACAACAAAAAATTACGTTTTCATGACAAAATTATACAGATAAGTTGAAGCCCTGTGATGTCATTAAATTTTATTATTTAATTATAATGAGAATATTTTACTTCATAGTATCCTTTAAAATACTTTAAAGTTTGCTATCTAAAATAGTTATAACGCATAAAGGACAGTATAATTTTAAAAAGAACATATTCAAATATTTAGATATATATTATTTTGTATTAGATATTAAACCCTGGTAAAATATTTTTTTCAAGATTATCCTCAATATAATATGTATATATAGTTACAACGCAAAATAAATTATTTTCCTTGCAGACCGTACATTTCAAGCGACAATTAATTACTCTAGGTCATTCACATTGCCAGAGACACTGGATAAATATATAGTAATTCATATGAGGAC